AAAAGAGTTACATTATTTAGTAGTCCCATATAAGGAGACCAAGTGAGAATCACGTATGTGCATGACATTTAGATGAATTGTTGTCGTCAGCCGAGTTGACCGAGTTTAGTCCCTGTTCGATTTGAGACGTGACATTGTGGCTTACCATGGAGAGATGTGGTTAAATGGTTAGTATCCACATATTTATCACCAATTGATTTTAAGTAAGATATGACAACCAGATAGCCAAAGAACTCCGTGGTTAAGCGTGCTTAGAGCTATCACAGGATGGGTGACCCACTGGGAAGTAAACATAATGCAGCGGGAGGAGAATTGTTGGGCGTCGACTGGGTTGGCTTACCATGAAGGGATGTGGTTAAATGGTTAATGCACCCATTTATTATTGTTGAGATGCGCCCATGGCCTAATGGATAAGGCGCTTGACTTCTAATCAAGCGATTGTGGGTTTGAGTCCCACTGGGCGTGATGGCAAATTTTGTTGTGAAAGTATGTATCATCCGAATTACACTAAAGTTTCATTTTACAATAATATTGCTATGTTTTTTAGTTTCACTTTTCACATACACTAGTTTCATTATAACAATACCAATGTATCATTTTAATTCTGCTACAGTTTCATTTGACAATATACTAGTTTAATTATAGTAATGTTGAAGTATTATTTTAATTACACTTTAGGCTCATTTGACAATATAATATATGGTATTGTATGTCTCTGAATTTTAGTTTCATTTTTCACGCATACTAGTTTCATTATAGCAACGCTAAAGTATCATTTTAATTATATTACAGTTTATTTGACAATAATGTGTTCTGTTTTTAGTTTTATTCTCCACACACACTAGTTTCATTATAGCGCATCATTTTAATTCTACTATAATTTCATTCGATGATCATGGTCCACACAGTGTTGTGTGATCCACGGTTCGATACACTGTATAACAATTGCTGGCAAAAACATATGACAAAAAATGGTTATGCTTCAATAATACTAGAACCAAAAGAGGATGTTCTGATAAAAAATGACTAAAAGTAAAATGACACATATAAATTTAAAACAAAAAATAAATTAACTCTTAACTTCAAGAACTAAGTGTATAATAAATATTTGACTATAGCTTTATATATATATAACCAACCTAGTACTGGGGAGAAAGTAGCCAATATGTTGGCAGTTAAAGTGGCAAGTTCTTCAAGTTTATTTTGAACCCTGAAAATTTTGAGATTATGCTGAAGAAATAATCTCAACAAACTAACAAATTATGTCTAGTTAGGAGACTTATACATACAATGCCCTGAAGAACTGTCACTTATTACAAATACCTTTTTTTGTGTGTGATGAGCGCCAAATATACTCAATATTAAAAATAGAGTTAATATCAAAAATGGTCCTCGACTATAGTGATTTTTCTCAATTTCGTCCTAAACGATTTTGGTGATCTAACGTAGTCCCAAACTTTTGTATTTTTGCTAAATGTAGTCTTCCGTTTGTTATTCCGTCAAATCGGTGTTAAATAGAGGGGCAATTCACTAATTTCAATATTGGTCTCTCTTTTAATTTATTTATAATGATTAAATAAATCACCCGTCTTTTACGAATTATCCCAGTAACCCGTACATATTGAAATTACTAGGACAACTCGCAATCCGTAAAAGAACTCTATTAAAATTATTGGGACAATTTATAAAAGAGGGTTGATTTATTTATTCTACAAGCAGAGCAGAATACGATCTTCGTACGATCCGACCATGTAGGAATCATCGTATTTACTACATCAAAGGCCAAATAATTAATGCATTAGACATTAATTAAATCTTACTTGAAGTTAGCACCACAGGAGCAAGTTGTACTGTATGTTAACAACACTTGTACCAATATAATCCAAATAGGCAGCTATTGGTAAGGCCAAAATTGCTGATTCTGGCAAAGAGTAAGAATTAAGATGGCCATTGTTTAAGCTCAACCACACATCTGATATGGTGAGTTCTATGACTGAACTGATGCAATCCAAAACTGCTTTTTCGTTGTCGGTGGATATGATGGGGTTGGAATTATTGCCAAAATTAAACGCCGGTTCAGCCGGCTAGGCGGTCTAAGCAGCCGCCTAGACCGCCTAGCCGGCCGGCCGCGTAGGAGGCCGATTCTGACATTCCTCGTAGCGGTTGATGGGCGCCTAGCGCCGCACAATTTTTGCAACACTGATTATTGGACAACGTTGTTGAGATGCGCCAACTTCAATTCAATTCTTAGCCAATCCTTTTCAATTCTTGTGCTTGTTATTAGTGTTCACTCACCACAACAACACTTATATAATACCATTTCAACTTGAAACGGAGGAAAAGAATCAAGATATATGCCTAGATAATTAAAAAGTTTTTAAAAATGATATTATTCGTATCCTCCTATGCACTCAAGGAATTATATTAAAAAAAATATGAATATTTGATTCGATTCAATTCATTAAAATTTGTGGTGAATCAAAATCTATGAAAATGTGGGTGAGATGATGTAGACATTTTTCCTATTAACCCAATTGTCTTAAAACCCATGAAAGGATCCTATCCAGCACGAAAATTATTAGACTTAGTTCTCAAGTTAATAACTTGAAAAGTTTGTTCTCAAACTAATTCATACGCTAAACATTGCTTTTTAACTTTGGAATTTATCAAACAACTCTCACTGAAAAAAGCTAAAATGATTCTTTCCATATATCATCAAACCTCATCTAGAGTGCCCTATATGTGATTTCTTTATAAATAAATAAAAGGATAAGTGTCAAATACGCTCTTCAACTATAAGTCAAAGTGCAATTAGCCTCATAAACTAACAAAAGCTCCAATTAGACTCTTCATCTCTTTACTTGTATGCAATTAAGTTCATAACTTCTTAAAATTGTGCAATTAACTCAATTTGTAAGTAAACATAGGGTAATAACAAGTAAATTTGATTTTTATTTTAAAAAAAAAATTAATTAAAAAAAAGGGCTTGGGTGGGCTTCTTCTCCGTCCAATTGGACGGAAAAGCCAAAGCGGTGGCATTTAAAAAAAAAATTATTAAATTATTCGAATTAAAAATATATATTTGTTATTTTAATTATTTTTAAAAATTAAAAAAATTACATTAATTTAGTTGTAACCCGCTAATTAACTTAATTGCATAAAAGTGAAAAGATGAAGAGTCTAATCGGAAGTTTTGTTAATTTAAGGGACTAATTGCACTTTGACCTATAGTTGAAGGGTCTATTTGACCCTTATCTCACACACACACACACACACACACACACACACACACACACACACACACACATATATATATATATATACATATATGTTTTTTTGATCGTCTAATTTCACATCAACGGTACATAGGAGTTCACAGGTTCATAGGTTCATACCTTAGCAATAGTTCTCATCTGAACCGGACTCTCTCTCTATATTTATTTATTTATTTATTTATTTATTTATTTATTTATTTATGTGATGCAACGAAACTTTTGTTTGATGAAGAAAGCAGAGGCGTATCAGATACCTGTGTAACACTAGCACGCAGTTGGCATATTTACAGATCCTATGTGCCTTTGCCAGCCACCTTGCATATATCTTTTTATATATTTAATAAAATATGAGTAAATAAATAAATAAATAAATACACACAATTATTAATAGAGAAAAAGAGAGAATAACGCCAGTCTTCACTTTTTATCCAATCTTTTATTTTTTTATTTTAATTATACAAAATTTTCCTACCTGTATATTACTCTCAATGTATTATATATGCAATGATCGATTAATCCTTATAGAATTTCATGAAAAAAAATATATATATTTGTTTTACAGTTTTTACACTAAATTCTACTATAATTGATACAACTTGTGAATTGACTTCGCTACAAGTCGACAGGATGAAATCACATTAATTATTTCATATATGCAATTTAGAGTGAATACTTTTATAATAAGTGACATTAGCCTTCATTTTACTACATTTTTCTAAAAGGTTGAACCCCAACCCTAAGGGCCCCCCACACCCCGACCTGACAGAGCATTTGGGAGGATGTAAATCATGGTAACTCAACTGAACATGAACTACAGAGGCTAGACATGTGCTCACTGCGCACAAGAAACCCCCCTCACTTTGAGAGGTTGCTCCCACACTGCCGCTGGTGATCATTTTACTACATTTGTAAGTAGTTAGATTGCTTCGTTGCTGGGCAGAAGGGCGATTGCAAGTGTAAAACGAGAGAAATCCGTAGTCACTATCCGAGAGTGTGCACTATGTAAACTCCGCCTTGTGATCCTAGTCAACGCGCTATTTTCAATTTTTCTAATCACGGTTGGTGGTCAAGAAAGTGGTCGAAAATTTCAACCACCATTGACAAAAACCTAGTTTTTGGATTTCTACCTTCTAACAAAAACATAAAATGAGGAATTTTTTGGCAAGCACATTTTTTTTTAAATGTTTAAATTTTATGTTTGTACAATAGTGCATATACATTACAGCTGCTAACAAAGCAAAACTTATAAATTTATTTAAAAATAATTGACCTAAATTGTGGGAGTGCGAGCTTCATCCGCATTTATATTTGAAGTAGAAAATGACCCTACATATTAAGAGCATCAGCATCCAAATGGCTTTCATGGTCTTCCCCATATAGCAATAAAATAAGGGTCATCCATTGCTAAATACCAAGTCGCCATCCCATTAAAGTCCTTATTTGACCTAACCAAACCAACCCTCCTAGCCTTACTTTCGTACCCTCTTCCCACTCCACATCAATTATAAATAGATTTTTTTTTTTTAACAATTCCAGCCAAGTTAATCAACTATACGTTAGAGTTTAACTGTACTCGTCCAACTCTCAGTAAGAATGACTTATTGATCTTCTTATCTAGGTACGAGAATTAAACTAGTGAAGTTTGTTTATGGTCGTAAATATTTAGATAAATTATAATTTATACATACATATGTACTATATATGTATGTATGTATATATATACACACACCTTTGGTTTGGTAGCTCATGCAATGCAACATGCACCAACTCTATCTTAGCCAAATCATTCACTTCCTACACACGCATTAATATGCTCTCCCACCGCTTACTCCCTATCTATCTAGCTAGCTTTCTTTTCCCCCCTCTATAAGCCAAGAACAAGAAGCCAAGCTAGAAAAACAACATTACCAAATTGAAGTGACCACATAAATCCACACAAATGTACATTATGCGACGAGGGAAGAAGACGTGTTTTGTGATGTTGTTTTTGGTAATCTTCCCACTTTTAGCTATGGCGGCTTCCGCCGCCGACGCAGCGGCGCCACAACTGCCGGATTTGAGCGTAAAATGCGGAGAATGTCCGTGTTCGGATTCATGCAGCCAGCTGCTACCGCCACCGCCACCGCCGCCGCCGCCACCAAAGTGCACCACTACTCCTCCACGGCCGGAAACTCCGCCGCCTCCCAGGTTCGTGTACTTCTCGGGGTTGTCTCCTCCGCCGCCGCCGCCGAGGTTTGTATACTCTACAGGCGGCCCTCCGGGAGGCTGGAATTACTTTTATCCCACTGATAATCCGTTTGACCTGAAAATTTACTCCGGCGCTTTGCGCCGCCGTAGCAACGTCTTTGTATCAGGCGTCATGTTTCTCATGGTGATTGGCTGTGGGATTTTACTTTTTTAGTTAACTAATAATTAATTTTGATCTAATAATGTAATTTATTTATTGTCTTGAAAGACATCAAGTGTACTGTTATATATATAAAGCATATGTACCTAAATTTTAGGAGAATATTTCTTATGTTTGTGTTCATAAAAACAATTTTTTTTGTACTATACCTATGATTTTGGATCTTTGTTGTACCTTTGTGTTTTTCTATATAAGTATACTTTTGGGTTAGATTTATCAACCAAAAAAAAGGCCTAATCCTGGATTGGACTAAAAAAATGTTGGTAAAAAATAAACTTGTAACCGAATCATATTTCACATACTCGACCATCAGTGTTCAGTTGAGTTACTATCATTTACATCCTCCAAAGTATTCTGTCGGGTCGGAACGTGAGACTCTTCAAGTTGGGGATTCAATCTTTTGGAAACAAAGTTTGGATTTGAGGTCACAATAATGCAAGTCAAAAAGTGAAACACCCGGGAATTCGTTTAACACTACTTAGCTAATTCAAAAAATGTCTACTTATTATCACCTATAAAACTAAAGAGATAATTATTTGGTTCTAATAAATATTAATATAGAGTAAAAAAAAGAAAAATAAATTGTATTATTAAGGAATAATGAAGATATTAAGATTAAATTAAAAGAGAAACAAGAAGAATATTAGGGTAGTAATATGATTCCTTTCCTAGCTAGCTTCCTTTATCTCTTTCTTCTATCTAATTTATAAACAAAAGTAGGGTTTTGGTTGAAAGCTACTACGTACGCAAGCATGAAACATAAATATTCTTCTCCCAAACACATAAATATTCTGATTCCCTAAGATATAGCTGTCATATTTGGGTGTAAAACAAGTGCACAAGTGAAGTCATGAAGAAACAATTACGAATATAATTAGTTAATTCCCCCCCCCCCCCCCCCCCCCCCAAAAAAAAATATTAATACTCTAGTTGCCCAACATTAGTACAACCTTGTCCCCAATTTTTTTTTTTTTTTTTTTTTGTCAGACGGTGTCCCCAGACAACCTAGTATAAGGGGTAATTTCATATACTAAATTCACCCATTGAAAAAATTTTAAAAATAATTTTATATACTCCAGACAACTTCTCTAAATATGGAAAATAATTTCATATACTAGATTGACCCCCTGAAAAAAATTTTAAAAATAATTTTATAATCTCTAGACAACCTTTCAAAATATGAAAAATAAATTCATATACTAGATTGACCCCCTAAAAAATTTCAAAAATAATTTTATAAACTCTAGATAACCTTTCTAAATATGGAAAATAATTTCATATACTAAATTGACCCCTTGAAAAAATTTTAAAAATAATTTTATAAACTCTAGACAACCTTTCAAAATATGGAAAATAATTTCATATACTAGATTGACCCCCTAAAAATTTTCAAAAATAATTTTATAAACTCAAAACAACCTTTCTAAATATGGAATAGGTTTGCAAAGTCGATTCTAAAAATTGGATACACTCAGTGCCAAGCTGATCATACCCTGTTTGTTAAAATCTCTTCAACAGGAAAGCTGGCAATTCTCATTGTCTATATGGATTACATAATCCTAACTGGAGATGATTTAGGTGAGATTTCAAACCTCAAGAGATTTCTTACATCAGAATTTGTTTGAGATCAAAGATCTAGGATTCCTCAAATACTTTCTTGGGATGGAGGTAGCTCGATCTAAGGAAGGGATTGTTATATCTCAAACCGAAAGTACATCCTAGATCTTCTAAACGAAACTGGAATGCTTGGAAGTAAGCCAACAGATACTCCAAGGGACCCTAACTTAAAAACAAATCGGAGTGGGGAACCAATTCTAGTAGAGAGGGGAAGCTATCAAAGATTAGTGGTGGAAAACTAATTTATCTCTCTATTACTTTCTTTGTTAGTGTTGTAAGTCAACATATGCATAACTCTAATGAGGAGCATTTGGAAGATGTTTATCATATTCTAAGATACATCAAAATGACACCAGGTACGTCTTGGGTTGCACTTCAGAAAACATGACAACTGAGATCTAAAAGACTACACGGATTCTAATTGGGCTGGAGAGTTGACTGATAGATAATCGATTAGTGGTTACTGTACCTACGTATGGGGAAATCTAGTCACTTGGCGCAGCAAAAAACAGTTAGTTGTCACAATAGTGGAGAATCATAATACCGTGCACTGGCATTAGGTATATGTGAGGGTGTGAACAAAGAAAATTGAATATATATTTAATATTCAAAATTCCGATTACATGTCAAGTATTAATGCGGTGTGGGTACAAGATCTCTGGATTTCCTCTGATTCTTCAATTGGATGCCTTGAACACTCCACCATTGAAGGACCTCCGGGTTTCAAGTGGCTTGATCTTCAAAGAAGGGCTTGTATATATAGCTTGTTCTTCTTGAAGGGCCTTCGGGTTCAAATGGCTTGATCCTCAATGGAAGTTTGGATCAATAGACGTAGGCATGATCATTATGGAGGTGGGGATTTTACTTTCAGGATCACATTTTTATTGTGATCTCTAAGTTTCAGAGTTCTTTCAATAATTTTTCCTAGGATGTGTGATTACATAGAAATGAAAGGCCCTATTTATAGCGGTAGGATAGAGAGTTTTGATAAGCTCAAATTCTTTTGATATTAACAAATTAAACAAATTAGATAATATCAATATTATCTAAAATATTTCAAATATATTCAAATATACTAATATTGATAAATAATTAATATTTATCAAAATTTAAGTGTCAACATGCTGCCATCAGCATTGCTAAGAACCCGGTTCATCACGATAGAACAAAGCACGTTAAAATAGACAGGCACTTCATTTATGAGAAGGTGAATTCGTGGACCATTATACTCAACTACATTCCAACAAAGAAACAGATTGCGAACATCCTTACGAAGATGGACTTGTATATTTTAGTATCTGTAATTAGCGATATTGAATTTATTCTTACCTAATTTAGTTATCTTTTTATTTACTTTCCCTGATTATATAATTCTCGTCCCTATAATCAATCTTCTTGTTTGTATAAATTAAGACTTGTATTTTTCAACTAAATAGAACAACGATTCAGGATTTCTTACAATTAGTGATCGCACTGAATGTTATTTATGCTTCTATTCCGATTTTTTCCTCTTAAAGCTAAGCAATTGCCAACCTGAAAATCCACTGTCATGTTCATAATCACAAAAATGAGGTACCCAGAAGAAGGATCACAGTATAAGAAAAATAGACTGCAAATTATATGTAATTTCCACTTATTATTTAAACCGAATTGCTAGTGTGTATATATAGTCCGTAAGATGTTTTGCCATATGAAGAAGCAGTTGAACCCAAATCTATAAACTTACCCACTATGACCCCATGTATAGATATAAATAAAAGTACTCCATTATATGTCCGACTATGGGCTACCAGGAAACAAATATATAGCATACGGGTTGTTCAACAAATGAGAGGCAGTCTCTAATTCTACTGCTCGCTTAAAGCAAACCTGGACAAAAGCTCTAGCCTCTAGCTGAAAGCCAGAAAGTTTCATATTACAGCAGTGTCCAATGCCTTGATAATCTTGCGTCGCCACATAGCAGTTTTGGGATCAAATCTCAGTTCCCATGTTGGCCAGTAGTGTAAATCTTGCTTCAAAGTGAGCACTCGAGGCTTCCCATTCAAGTGTACTGTTCTTACGCGAACAAATTCTTCGTGCTCTAATCCCTGATAACAATTTTTGTTATCAAAATAAGGTTGCAACATCATTACTAATAATAGTAGTTCCCATTAAATTTACTAGGAATATAAAACGACTACAAGAGAGATGTCCAGTATAGCTCCGAGCTTGTTTTCACAGAGATAATTCTCTAGTGTTTTGCAAATATATATATCCATGGGTAAAAAATAAAAATGAAAAAACTAATTGGGATTGGCATACCTTGGTGACCTCAAGAAAAGCCTCCAAATTAGGAGTTGGTTTCCCATTAATTTCAACAATCCATTGAAGTGCGTATAGACCATACCGATGAGCGGGACTCCCATGACACCACCTGAAAGTTTGAAATTCGTCATAAGCTAATCAGCCTCTATGTTTTAAGCTTAAAAAATCAACTTTTTCACATCCCCACTTTCATGGGTTCTTTTCCACTGGTATGCTATTAGTTTACTCAATTTTCAACAATATCATAAGCTAATCTGAGGATGTCGGGTAGTTCATATGAATATTGTATGTCGGTTACTTGGGAACTTAAAATCCTGACCTTGTCACATATACTCCATGGCCTTCGTCGGGAAGAAATCCAAGTGCACGGACTGCAGCGTGAGGATCTTGGACAATACACCCACACCAATTTATTCCATGGGTGGTTCCATTCCCATCCCTCACATCTGTTCCCACAACGAGTTCAATTTCATGCCCCTAACAGACAATAACAATTTTCTGAGGAATACAGTACAAGAATGACCTCAGTAGCTGAGAGCAAATAATGTGGGTCTAAGTAGAGAGAAATGAATGGCCATATTTGCCAACCTGACGAAATATGGTCATGCACAATTTGCCATCACTGTTTTCACATCGATCTAATGCTTGGCAAGCATCTTCAATGTCACGGAAGCAGGTAACTGGCTCCTTGTTGATGGCTAAAACCATGTCACCTTGTTCTAATAAATTTACGGCCTTTGAGCCAGCAAAACAACTTTTGACTCTCAAAACCTGCCGTCTAATAGGATCCTTTTTCACAAGGGCCTAATACAATAAATCAAAGGGTAATGAAAAAACTTTAGAAATGCTGGTGAATTTGACAAATTGCAAAGCAGTAGTAATTGGAAGGAAAAGCACAAGATTTGTTCACTAGCATTATTAATACGTCAATTTAATTTTTCAGATTGGCAAACGTGAAAACACATGGTATTCTAAATACTCACTCCAAAGAAGAATATCACACTCAGGTAAACAATTTAATCAAGAATTACATCTTCTGAAAATTAAAAGGTTCCTACAAACATCAAGGACAAGAATATCAAGTATTTAACTATATATTCATTTTGCAATTTGCAGTATGGCCTTATAAAACTTGTGAAAAGGAGAACTCTGTATATTTCATACTTCTCAGACTAAGGAATACACATACTATACAAGAAATATATACTATGGTAGGGATTGGAACTCAATCCCTAAGATTATGCACATCAATCCCTAATATCATGCTAAATATATGCCTACCATGTATAATGTAAAACTCAACTAAACATACAGCAAATATCTGCAGTTTGAACCACCAGGGTACAATACTGGCTCTGACCATATGTGCACCCCCACCCCCCTTTCAAAAAAATTAAATTAAATTTAAAAAAATCATCACATATTTAGTTAAAGTCAAGGGTGTGTGAATTTGTCTGCCTGCACACACCTTTTGACATCATTATACAGAGTAAAGAATACATCAGATAAGCAGGAAAGGAGAAAGCAATTACAAGCAATAATAAAAAAAATAAAAAATAAAAACCTTGCCAAAAGCAGCTCACCTGTATCCAAGCATCACTTAATCCAAAATTGCGGGCTTTGGAAAGCAAAGTAGGATAAAGTTCAACTTCTAATATTCTCACAAGTGGCATAGGCCTTTTGACACCATTTATAAGAAGAGGAGGCCCATTACCACCAGAAATGATTTTGTCAAGAACGTTACTTATCGCATAAATTGGAAGTCCACGGACAAATTGATGATCTTCAGATGAACTACAACCATACTTGAGCTGGAAATGCAGATACATCCATTAAAACTTATATAAAAGAGTAGCTCATGAGTAAACAGAACATGCACTTTTTATTAATTTATTTGGCTTTTTTGATAGATAGTTAAGTATACCAACCTGAGTCGAAAAGCTTCCCCATATGGCTTGAACCCTTCCACGCTCATCAGTCAGCACGCCAGAAAATGTAGTACCAAAATCTGAAACAGCAAGGATAATACCATGGAAATTTTCTAAAGGTGAGAAAAATGCTCCAGACAACAGGAAAAAAAGAAAAAAGATAAAAAAAAATCAGATCAGAATGCTTAAGGTTGACTCTAACATACCAGTGTCAAGCTCAATGACTTCCATATTTATTGCTCTATACCGTGGACAATCAGCTGATCCAATATTCAGGGCAGCGCAAGGATTTGTGACAATTGATTTCCTAGATGTTGCCTGCAGGCTTCTGCTCAATCCCACAAGTGACACTGAATCTCCACGACGAAGTGAGGGTTCTGTTTACAACCAATGAGTTAGAGTAAAAGACAACATTTTGGATAAAATACTCTGTTCTGAAACAATGCTTATAAACATGTGATCACCGTAAAATACCATATTCAATTTATGATTTACTCACATAGAAGAGATTACTAATTTTGTTTTGAGGTCAAACAATTAATATCAGATTATTTTTAATTTTATTTTTTTCAATGTGACGCTAATTAGCACAAAAACATAGTGAAACACTCTCATGGCCTCTCATGGCATAAACAGCACATAGGCCCTGTTTGATAAGCAACTAAAAGAACAGATTTTAGCTATTTGACCTAATTTTTGTGTTTGGTAAACAGCTTTTAAATTAGCTAATTAGCACAAAAATACAGTGCAACACTGTCATGGCATAAACAGGACATAAGCCCATTTGATAAGCAACTAAATGAACAACTTTTAGCTATTTGGCCTAATTTTTGTGTTTGGTAAACAGCTTTTAAATTAGCTATTTTATCCCAGAAGAGCTTTTGGGAGTCTAAAAAAGGGACAGTCCTACCACTTTATTTATAAATAAATACCCACACTTTATATAAAATTTATTTTTTAAAATATATTTTTATAAAATAGATATGCAAAAATAAATTATTGAAAAGAATACTCGACAACAATAAAATATACTTATGTCCTTATATGCCATTTTATAAATTCAAACATCTAATAGCTATTAATGACTAATTATACCTACCATCTTCTTATGAACAGCTAATCATTGTACAAATAACTAATGTTAGCTAGTCAAATCAGTTAATACAATCAGCTAACAACCTATAGCTAATCCTCAAATAGGGTGATAGATCATCCTTTTTTTCTGGTGAAGGTGCTAACAGGCAGTACATACCAATTATGGTATCAGTTAAGGAGTTAATCCACTGCTCCTTTTCTTTGTTTATTTGAGGATACCAGAGATCCAGAGAATAGCAATTATCAACTAATAACTTTATAATTCAACATTTTCCTTTTTGTATTAAAACTAATTGAGAACTGCCCTTAAAACAAACCTGGGATTTGTAAACTCACTTTTTTTTACCCTCTTTGACATGCAATCAGTAAACTTAATGCTTTCTTTAACAATTGTTTCAGCAAAAAGTCAACGATTAAAAAGCTTGAGTGGAAAAATTTTCTTAATGTCCCATCAAAAGGGTACTGCCAGAAGTAAATCTGTAAGCATTGCCATCTTTCAAGCTATGCATATAGACATTCAAAAGTATCCACAAAATGCAAGCAAGTCATTTACTCCAAATATGTAACAGGGAACTATGACGAAAATTGTGTTTAAACACACATAACTAAGGAAAATTGTGAGTTTCACCTGGAAGAAGTTCAGCAGCATGAACTGCAGAATAACCAACAGGTCCAAGGGCAGAAGGGTCATATGCAACAAGAGCAAAGTTGTGTACAGGATCAAGGAAGACTACCTGTTAAAAAAAATAAGCTGCTTTACAATAAACATTTATGTTTCACAAGCGTAATGATTAAACAAAGTTACCTCCCCAGGAATTTCAATAGGAAAAGCAGCAAATGACAGCATGACATCAGAAACTGACACTGCAACAGTGTTCTTATCTACAGCAACCAAGCCCATACTTTGAGAGTGATATACAATCACACCAGTTCCAAAGAAATGTTGTGAGTGGACACCATCCAGCATACATGATGATGGCACATGAACCTACAATTTTCACACCAGAAAATAGTCAACTTAGAAATTAAATTAACAGAAGTCCTAAACATCAAAACTAACAGTCAACTACAATGACATCACAGGGAATTTGGAGTCTTTCTAGATTTTACTATGCTTAAACTTAAATACCTGAACAGTACATGATACACTCAAAATTATTGATAGGTTCATGCATTGAGAAAGAGATGCAACATCAAACATACATAAATTTTAATATGCATTTTTGAATTACAGGGCAGTTGAAGGATAAAGAATTTGACCATTCCATATGTGTAAAAGACAGTATCAAGGATCCATGTGAGTGTCAGACATGCATCGAGTGGAAAATGTGTACTTCATAGTTCACATGATCCTCCAACTCAAATCTATCAAAAATCAGGCATAGCCGTGTTTGACAGATAACTGTATCCAACATGGATAACCAAGCCCAGGTAGCATACCTCAATACAGTACCGTGGTATGTACAAATATCCAACATGAATACCCCAACTCCATAACCTCCACGAAACATAGATCTTTACAGTTTACAGCAACATGGTAAAAATGGCACTGCCAACATAACAACTACAGCATTGGAACAACACCTATTACACTTCAACATCTACCTTGTTTTCCACTTCTTAGCAATAAATTGAATCCAACTTCAAATATCCACATTCCTATCAGTATTATTTGCATGGCACCTTAAGGTGAAGAATAATACATAGTGATCATATGAAAAGAGCTTCAACACAAAACAAAGCTATTTCCAGGAGGTGCAACTACTGCACAAACGATCTTCCAAGTAACCACTCTTCCACAGTGGGGAAGAAAGATGCAAACCATGGCAAAAGTAGTTAAGCATTCTCTTTTTGTGTGAGTGTATTTTTAACAAAGTGCGCATGTCTTTTTAACAAAGCAGCCATTTTATTGATCCCCAAAGAAGGTAAAATAGGGGCAGGAGGCAAGTAAGCACACCTCCCAAGACCAACTGAGGTTGAACACTCCCAACCATAACCTCAATTTGGTTTGCAATTTTGCATTTTTTTGTGTAGCTTTCATTCACGTAAAAGATTGGTCCCACTTCAAAAGAACACAAAAAGAGAAATACACAGAATCTTCAAATAATTACCTCAAACATAACAAGAGTGGGTTCAATCACACGCTCAGCAACTGAGGCATTAGCTGCCTCTGTTGCAGCGCCTTGATAGTCCCTAACAACTGCATCCCCTAGAGTTCCCGACTCCTCCAATCTTTCTTCCCTATGCTCATGTAAGGGACAATCAGCTATAATAGTTCCATCAGCAGATGAGTTTTCTTCCACCTTTCTTTTCTTTGTTCCAGAATCAAGATCATCCTGAGACCGTGGTCCCTCAGCAATGACTTCACAACTAGTTTCCATATGTGTTACACCATCCATTGACTCTTGGCTAACATGTTGAGGCACGTGGTCCATTGGACTAACCTCAACAGCAGCAGAACACACAGAATGACTCAATGGATCTTGTTTGACAGGACTTATGTCAGAAAGGAGAGCAGAGTCAGGTTGTAGAGCTGGCTTAGCTATCCATAATCCAGAACTGTCATCACGGGTGTATATCTGAGGGGGGGCATACCACTCATGGCGGTCAACTGTGACTAATACAGACTGCACCAATACAAAAAAGTTTCACAAGTCAGGCAATAGGAAGTAATAGTAAAGCAATGTCAATTTAGGACACAAATAGGATCTAAATGGCACCGCAATTACCTTTCTCCGGTGACGATCTGCATAGCTTATGTACTCCAATGGAACTCTTGAACCCCTAGATAACTTGGAGAGGACAGATAATAAGTCCTCAAGCTTTGATATGTCTTCACCAGCAAATTTCTTAATGATAGAATGGCGAGGAACTCCAGCTCTAAAGAGCATATATCTGGAATTGGAATTATTGCAATAGGAAACAGGTTATAAGTTACTCCTCCAAACAAAATGTAAAAATTGCATCAATAAATATTTTTATAACCCAGAAGCATGTATGGAAGTTAAAGACAAACCCTGGTTCTGCGACATAGACAAGGCCACAGTGAAAACGGAAATTTCTAGCCTGCACCAAGGAGGGGGGAAAAGTCAGAAATTATTCACAATGATAAGTAACATTAATGACCCACCTTTCCAACAACTTTAGTAATTTTTCTGTTTTTTTGGAGGTGGGGGGTGGGGTTGAGAGCTGTAGTAAACTAGTAATACAAAGGGGTGACAATTGGATTCAGTTTCTTAAAAAAACAAAATAAGTGCACTTGTCAGTGCCCAGTGGTGACATAAGATAAGTTTCTATTAAACAGACAGATGTTTCAATTGCTATTTTCATCAACGGTGGACAGCTAAAAATTTCTAAAAGTCCAGAACACAGAAATCAGGATGATGGGTAACAGTAGCTATGAGAGGTGTAGGCACTAAGCAGTCTGTTCTGTTCTCCATTTGCAGGTTTCACATATCACCTTCATTGGGCACATAACATGGAGAAAACTATATCTTGTGCATTTTCATATTGTTGTTCATGTTATAAAAGAGAAAGAAGCTTGGAAGATGATCTTGTGGGACACAGCTTTGATCCTCAATCAGATATTGGAAATTGGACAAATGACTTATCAGTTATCAGATTTTGACACAATGCAATATTATATATTCATATGTATACAAATGACAAATTCTTTAATGTTTGGACTAATTTGAAAGACCTAAATCCTACATTGACTGAACAAAGTTTGGTTTTAAATTTTCAACCCGAATCCACACTAATTCAACACTCAAAATTTCATTTCATATGGGTACAGGTCAACCAAATAGTGCCCAACCATAGGCAACTTCAGCCATTCAAATGTGGAGTAGAAGAAGTTGCTACATACGGAGTATAATATATATTATACCACCCTACCCTTTTGTTCAGGCACAATACATACCTATCTTTTTTAAGAGCTGATAAATATTACAAACCTGTTGATAAGAAAGGGGGTGTATCACTGCACCACTAACTTCCAAGAAGAAATCAGGAGTTATTGAGTGCAAATCCTGAACCTGAAATTAATTGAATGAATAAGTCACTGGTTTGGATTGATATAGCACAAGAATAAACCTCAGAAAAAAACTTACATATAAGCTAAACAAAGAAGTTGCATAGATAGAGACTATCTAAAGAATATACGACCACCTACATAAGAAACTAACGCTATTTGAACTATATTTCCTTAAATTGCGCACAAATTAACCCATACAAAAAAGGAGGCATGGAGTAGCTAATCACCAGAAGTAAAATCTCATGGTGATTAACCATGCAGAATTATAAACTCACCATCAAAGCAATGGTCGATGAGACACCGCCTCTTTCAATTTGAAGTTCAACTATCTTTCCAACACTCTCGTCAAGTAGAGTTTCCATCTTGAGGAATTGTGTAATCACCTGCAATCGAAGTTTGCAAGTGAAATTAAATACTGTGATAATAAATAAATAAATAAATAAATATATATATATATATATATATATATATATATATATGAAGACTTATCCAATCACCTAAGAAAATAAAACACACCCAAACCTAACAAAATAAAACAGAACTATTCAAGCAATGTCTTACTGTCAAAGAAATTAAATTGGAAAACAACAGTTGAAACCACCAGAGGTTGGGGCAGGCAATTGATGCAGATGGTTTTATCAAATACAGCTTGAAATTAGCATATCCAATGGTAGGATTCTAACCCATTATGGTTCCAGCAGTGATTTTGTAGAATTAAGTTACAGAACAGAACACTGGTCGTTTAACAAGAAGTTTAGATGTTTAAGGAAAAAAGAGGTGGAAAAGTGTGGTGTTGAAAGCAAGGATGTTCTCTGCCAAATTGCCAATAAACATTATTGAGTAATTTTATATTTATAAAATAAAAATTATAGCATGTACTTTGATCTTAAGCATTTGAAAGCACTATCTACAATTTCAACTTTAGATGTCATGCGGCTCAAAATGATAAAATGCAGGTTCTGCGCTCTACATGAGAATAGTTTGCATGCAACATTCAACTTTCATCTGAGTATCTGACAGACCTAAAATGGCTCCTAAACATCTGTAGACAAGGAAATGTACAGTTTTCCAATATCTGCTAGCAATATGATTAAAGCTATTCAAACACTAAAAGACAGACAACAAACAACAAAGAAATCTGGTTCTGATCTGACAAAAACACTGAACCCGGTGCACTTAAACAACCAACTCAATGCAATATGCATTGCATTAAAAGCTCATCATGCACATTGCGTATATGTAATTCTTTCATAAAGGTAATGTGTCCCAAAAGATAGAGTGCAAACTGACCTTCCCATTCATGCAAACAAGAACATCACCTGGCTCTAAGTGATTATAAGCTGGACCACCAGGCACCTGAAATAAACCCAAATCTCTAATAAACAGTGGTAAACAAAAACCAAGATATATGCTTTTAAAAAACACCAAGGATGACATACCACAGAATCAACAACAAGCATTCCAGTTTCACCCGGTGGAGATGAATTGCGCACCAACTGTTTAGTAACAGCAACATGATTAATTTATTAACTTGAGGTGCATAAAGAAACTTGAAAACAACAGCCCCAAATACCTGTTCTGTTTCACTTCGAAGACCAAGACGGCGGGTCTCGTCAAATCCTTTATGGACAAATGTCACCTATGACACAAATATACAAACCTGAATCATACCATTAACAGGCCAAGGGAGCCAGGAGGGAGCAGTATTACACTGCAATAAATCTAGTCACATTGACACAGAATAAAAAACAAATTGCAAATGCCATTGACCTTTGGATATGAAAGAATATCAAGGAATGTTTGACCTAAACTCCAAAAGATGAATTTTATTTGAAATTCTATAACCAAGCATTTATAAAGCATCTCAACTACTTATTAACATCCAATGCTTCTAAAGGATATCTAAACCAGCAAAACCCCTATATCCAATATCCTGGAAGGCCTTGAAAATGCCTAATGAATATTTAATATTAAATCTGAAAATGAACCAAATGTCCCAAGAATGTGATTGTTTACTCTCTGAGGCAGAAGAGTGATTTAAACTGTCATCAAATTAAGTATACTTAATACTCCAGCCAGTATTTCACATTTCAGTTTAGACAATAAGAATAAAGAGCATGAAAGCTTCAAAAGGATGCAAACTAACGGACCTGAAGCGTACCACGTGGAATAGTGACTGCCTCCCATTTGTTTGCAGAATCTCTTCCTTCTTGCAAAAATTTTAAAGCCCTTACAACCTAAAACCATGTGAATGTCATACTGATGGGCAAATTCAAGCAACTTTATTAAAAATCAACTGTATGGCTCCAACAAGTATGTAAAGGTGGAAAAGAGTTGAATGCATTGCATGTCAGCAGAAAATTGTAGTGCGAATCAATATTATATTTTAATTCGACCTATGTAAGAATCACAAATCTGATAGAAAATGGAATCACAAAGCTACATTTTTTTGTGTTATCAGAAACACAGAACCATTAACATATACAAAAATATGTTCTTACTCGCTCTAAAGGGAGGAAAAATGCAGATGCACTTGATGACTTGCTCCCAGCATTCAAAGCAACTGCTCTGCCCTGCCAGTCAATTACAGGAGAGCCACTTGAACCCCCTTTTGTCCCAGATGCAGCCTGTGGATAAGTAACAAAACAGAAGGTTAAGATTACCATCTCAAGTGGGTGAGACACCTGATCACCAATTACAGCCCAAGAATAAGGTTAGTAAGATCATTATCCTCACTTGCATATAGAAGGTATTGAAGTCATTGTAACCATCCCTGCAGCCAAAAGTAAAATCATCATTAAAAAAGTAAACTATGGAAGAAAATTTAGATAATATCGTCATGGATAAAAATAAATAAGCAACTTGAATTTACTTGAACTCTACTCTTTTTGTCCATTTTTAACATTGGGGTAGGGGATAAGTTAAAGATCTTCAGCCAAAAGACATGATGCCCTATGCATGCATTACTATAAAACAGAAAATAAAGCTTCCTCAATAAATGAACCACACAATCTTAAGTTGATTAATCAAAGAAATGAGGATATGAGAGAGGGAATACCCAGGCAAATCAAAGTGCTGAATCATAAGTTACAAAAGACCATTTGCATCCAAATCATTAACCTTTATTCATAAGACCTTTACATCAAAACTACAGCATGCCACAATTAAATCTTATAAATTTCAAAGCTTACAAAACTACAACTCACTGGGATTTATTTAAAGCAAATATTACTATCCAATTAATTCTCTTCTTAATTCTATATGTATATTTTATCAAAATAATAAATTTTTAAATGTATCATGGATGGATCAGATTTTGAGAAGATGGCAAACAATACCAAAAAATCGCCACCCCTAAACAGAAGAAGAAGTCTTGTGAAGCTTTATATTAAAAAGCAGTCCAGAATCATCATTTTTCAGCATAATCACTTCAGAAAAAAAAGAGTGTGTGAGAGAGAGAGAACGTTAAAAGAGAGCATACTTCTTGTAATGTGGAGCATCTCTATCTAAACGAGCAAGGGTGCCAGCCAAAATAGATACCTGTAAATTCACAACACAAAACACAATGTCAGTTTTAAACAAAAGAATGGTGATACAGGACATTTAATTATTTTTTAAAAAAAATGTCAGTTTTAAACAAAAGAATGGTCATACAGGACATTTTATTATTTAAAAGAAGAAGAAGAAGGCCTCAGCTGCATGGTTCTATCAGGAAAGACAGAAGAACTTTGATACTTCAACAAGGAAAATTATACAGCAATTTGTGTCTTGTGAACAGGATTCCAAAACTTGGACTTAAGAAGCCAGTAAATGCAGACGCACATTCTGTGAAAATAAGTAACCAGCACCTTGTACCCAGCAAAAGGGTTTAATAGTACCATGATACATATAAAATTAAGTGAATTCACTCATATTCTTGTATACAATAAGCCTAACTTTTCTGCATTCTGGTAATAGCTAAGCATTCAATCTTGTAGGCAAAATACTGTGATCCTATCTTGTTCCAGCCTACCTCCAAGCAATACAAACCAGTGTAGGAAACAAAAGCTCCACTACAAAGGACCATAAAAACTTCTACCTACCAAGTAAAAGAGAAAATGCTGAATTGGCCAACATCCAACAAATCTACAGGACCCGCTCAAAAAGGCAGACAAACTGATCATCACATTACACAAGAAAGGCACATCGAATGTACACTTCATATTTTCTTTTATTTTTCTACCATATCTTTCCTGCTTCTCCAACTCAATTAATCTGTGTCTGTTTTTTACTATTGCTTTCTACACATCAATACCATCAGGAATTATGAAAATAAAACTGGAGAAAAAACATATACACTCTGATGATAATTACCTTCTCTCCACTATCATTCCCAACCACCCTGATTTCCAGTCCTACACATGCTGCATCAGGAGCGAGAGGAATCTCTTCATAGTTCAGAAATTGTATTGCACCAGGATCATATCGAAAAAAACCAAAATCATGAACCTAGGAAAAAGATCAACAGGTTATTCACATCAGCAAAATGAGTGATGAGAGTGTGAAGCATTAAGCATATTTATGCAAGGATCAAAGTGCATAGCAAACCAGGCTACTGAAAAACAATTGTAGAGGCTTCAACAACCAACATAATATTTTCTTCAACGCCACCTAGCTAGTTGTTTAGCATTGCAGTTTTGCAGTCCCTCCACCAGTCAAGAAATGAACTATATTCTTGATAAGCAGAGGTAGTAACTATCTCTCCAACAACGCCACCTAGCTAGTTGTTTAGCATTGCAGTTTTGCAGTCCCTCCACCAGTCAAGAAATGAACTATATTCTTGATAAGCAGAGGTAGTAACTATCTCTCCAACAAATGGAGTAGTAATTAAGAAAGCAAGTATTTTAGATGGATTTTTGTTTCAAATAGAATAAATTTTCAAAATAACTAAGTGTATCTTTGCAACTTATGTTGTATACATAGAGTTATAATAAATGAATAAATGAGCTCAAGTTTGATGAGTTCTCAAGCCCACAGATTTTAGCTCCTTGAACTCGATCAGCCTTATTGGATTCGCTATAACATATGTATCTACATATGCCCTATTATGATGTTTGGATTACGTAACAACAAAATTATGATTCTAATACAATAATGTTCAGATTATAACTAACAACATAAACATCAATGTAATAAAATCTGAACATTATAACCACTGTTGTAGTAAAATATGAACATTAGTGATAAGCAATCTAAACATCATTGCCATGGCATACCTATTGAGGTACATCATGGCTTAGCTAATAATTTGCCAAACTCACTCCCATTGACAAATCAATAACATTTTGCAGCACTCAAACGAGTCAGGACCCACATTATCCAATACTGTTATTTCTGTTAGATAACAGATTCACACTAAATTGGGTTTGTCAGTGATTTCATCACAAAATATTTGTAACCTTGACTTTCAGAACTCCCAGCATACAGGAGCTACATAACTAAATTTGGATCTTTTCTCAGCATAATGACATTTAGACTTGAGTTGTGGTGGTCTAACTCCTAACTGCTAACTCTAGATATTCAACAACTGTTATAACACCACACCCCTGCCCATCTCATATTCTGGGATAGCAAGAACTCACATTTCCTAACTTTTTTAGAAAATAGTCAACATTTTCATTTAACTCTCAATCTGCACCTTTCAGAACTTGAGGAAATACTCAAAGGAATAAAACATACCAGATAAATTCACCAAGGATGTATCATGTATGTAATAAAAGCACAGGTGTGGAAACTCACAGGGTCTCTATATATTGGATAGACAGGGATTTCTTCACGGTTCACAAACATTGCTTCAGCGACCACAGGTCCTAAAACGTAAGTGATCATAAAACATCAGTATTCCCCACTAAAAAGAAATGCATTTACCAAACTGACACTCAGCTTTCCCCTTTAGTTGCAGGAAAACAAATGTTTGTAGCTAAAATAGAAACGGTATATATCTATATATGCATCAATCACCAGGTTTAACAACATGTCTGTTAGTGAGTATAATTCCCCGGCGCTTATCCACAACAAAGCCTGTTGCGTAGCCGGCACTGGCAGACTCGGTGTCGAAAGCTCGGCAAGCTGTGGTCCGGATCACGACAACCGCGGGGACGACCTGGTTGAGCGCCCTCCGCCAATCCTCGGCGGTAGCAAGGTTCTCCCTTAACGGAGGATCAATCTCCATAGACAAGTCCTCCTTCAGCATAGTCGATTCCGGTCCCGAAACTCCCTCCGATCCAAAATTCTCCAGCGAATCCCCCACCTTGTAGAACCCTAATTCCCCCTCGCTGTCACAGAGTTCGAAACTTGATACAAACCTTTAACACAGTGCCAGAGTTTAGTGTCCGTATAAGCTTTAGGGCTACCGGCTACGTTGAGAAATATGTTTCGAGGACGGGGAGAGAAATCCGGCGAGGTCTCTGGGCGAAAGATTTTCTCTCTCTAGATGGAGGGAGAGAGAGATCGGAGTTTGGGATGAACTATGATTGAATGGAGTTGGTTCTGACAGACTGACAGATTTTCAGTGTTTTCGTCCATTGACTCGTTCGCTGGTTTTCACTTTTCATATCAGTTTTGCACTGGATTCAAAATGACTACAATGGCCCTGCACGTTTGTTAGTGGTGCCGTAATGAAATTATATTGTACATAAAATGAAACTGAATAGCAAGTCTTACATATTGTAAATATATTAAATAAAAGTGTAATTTACTTATAATGATACTTTGATGCTGCTGCAATAAAACTACAGTTTACCATGTGTATAAAATGAAATTAAATAGCATAGCTCACATATTGAGTGTATATTTTCAAATGAAATCGTAGTTGAATAATTGAAGAATAATAATACTTTAGTAGTGTTGTAATAAATCTACATTGTGTATAAAATACAACTGAATAGCATGTTTTACATATTGAGTGTATATTGTTAAATGAAAATGTATTTGAATTATAAGGGTTAAGGGTCAAATAAGCCTTCTAACTATATTGATTTGTGCCATTAAACTCTTCAACTTCAAAAGGCTCCAATCAAACCCTAAAACTTACAAATAAAGTGCAATTAGGTTATTTTGTAGGTTACCTTCAAGCAACCAGTAAATTACTTGATGATTAGATCTTCTAAGCTGATGTGGCTTCAACATATTTATTTAAAATGATATATTGTATTAAATTTTATTTTTAATTAGTAATAATAATAATAATCAAATTAAAATGAAAAATATATATATATCCCATATTTGGTTCGTTTGTCGTCCACCATCGGCGCCTCACCGTAAGTGCCTACTGCTCGGCCACCGTCAGTCATTCGCAGACACTACCACTTTTCATTTTTTTTTTTTGGGAAAAAACACCGCGGCCTTCTTCCAAGTCTGGAAAAATGTCGCTGGTGGCTTCTTCCATATTTGGAAGAAGGTCGACGTTGCCTTCTTCCAAATCTGGAAGAAGGCTAGCCGACGTGACCTTTTTCTAGGTTTGGAAGAAGGGTGTCACTGCCTTCTTCCAAACCTGGAAGACAGTATTAGCTTTCTTCCAGGTTTGGAAGAAGATCACATACGCCACCTTCTTCCAAATTTTGAAGAAGAACATCACGTCTGGAAGAAGGTTGTCGCTGCCTTCTTTCAGATTTGGAAGAAGGCGACGGTAGTAGGTAAATAGCGACAGCTTCAGACAGGTCAACAACGACGACTATTACGACATCGATAAAAAATATTAATGGTGTTAAAATATTTTTATTAATTTAAAAAAATATATATAATATAAAATGTAAAGAACATGTAAAAATAGGTAAAGGTGGCTATTTGCTTATGTTTTTGGAGTTCAAGAGGTTAATTGGAGTTTTTTAAAGTTCAAAGGTTTAATTGCACATTTTAGTATAGATTGAGGGTCTATTTGACCCTTATCCCGAATTATAATGATATTGTAGTGGTGATGTAATAATGATACTTCAATGTGCATAAAACGAAATTGAATAACGTGAGAGGTTGTTACGTGGATCATAACATAATTTGTCATCTACCGTTGTTAACGGAAAAAGTTGCAAACGATGTCATTTTGTTACTCGACCCGTCTCACGGATAAGAATTCGTAAGATAGTCTCACACAAGTGTGACCAAAAAAAAAAAAAAAAAAAAAAAAACACATAAATCATCAATGATTTGCTAATAGCAAATGTACCACTAACACATTGTTACCTTAAACTTTGTTATTATACACTAGCTCTATCTTCTAAGATGGATCTTGGTTCATGATATAACAATTGGGTTGGAAAGACATGAATTAACTTGGATATTTAAGAAAATGTATAGTCACCTCAACTTGCTATACAAGAATTAATTCAATTGACCTACACCTGTAACATTGTTGACACAAGTTGACATAACCGTCTAAAAACACTAAGAGCAACCACATCTGTTGTTTTTCTCAATTTTTGAGAAAGAAAAAACTAATATATGATTTTGTGATGGATGAGAAGGAAGGTTTTTTCTATGTTTTTTTCTCCTGCAAAGTTAAATTTTTATGGGGTCCACAAGGTGAGATAAAAGAAAAGGTTTCTGGGCGCGTAAAAATTTAGTTTATATATATATATATATATATATATATATATATATATATATATATATATATATATATATATAATTTTTCGCCTACAGTATTCAGCTTGTTTTTAATTTTTTTTTTATCCTCTTCCTCTATTTCATCTCCTTTATCCTACATGACCTTCTTAAAAATAGTGTAAAAACCTAATTAGTATGAATGCTCTAATGTGTTGTCTGACCAATCAATCACGGGAGCCAACCAAAACCCACAACATCAAAACCACTTGTTATAAGTTATTATGGACTTTAAACTTTAGTATAAATAGGGCATCTCTTATGTACTTAGATCATCACCTACTCCATATAACAACTTCTACCAAGCACTTGGTCAGAGCTACGTACTTTAAAAATAAATAAATAAAAACATTTTCTATTATATTTAGATGCGACAAATGCAACAAGTTATTAAAAAAAACAATAATTTTGTTTCAGTTGTGACTTTGTGTGCTAACTTATTTGTCCATTTGTTCTGACTAGGAATCTGTAATTATGTTACTCCGTATTAATTTTTTATCCCACATCGACTCCACAAGGTAGTGGTACTTAAGTTAGGGTCAAATCTCTATTCAGGAGTTAACTTTTGTGGTGGAGTCAGGGTTTTGACTTGAGTAACATCCGGTGCTTGATAAGGTTCAAAGAGAACCGGAAGAGTCCGGAGTGAAAGCCGTCCAGTCATCCGGTGCCGGAGTTCGGAGGCGAGGCTTCTCAAGGGGTGAACAATGACACGATCTCACATCGGCTCTACAAGAGATTGTGGCCAAAATGTAAGAACAATCACGTATGATGTATCTTTTTAGTTTGAGTTGATTAACCATAGGCAACGAATAGTGATTGCAAATTTATCCGTAAATAAAAATGTTTTGAATGAGAGATGATTTTGTGGAGTTGTTATACCATGGACCAAGGTCCACCTTGCAAGGTGGATCCTCGTCCTAAACGACGTATATATTATGTATTTTTAGTATTGAAATTTTGAACTTCTATGATATAAATCGTGTTTCTAAGTCAAACACATAATATGTTAATACTGTGTGACTGCAGTATTTAAAAGGGACTTGTAAATACAAAACAAGGTAATCAATTACATGTGTTAACATTGTGTTCGTAGTAGGGGTGAGCGTTTTGGGTTTCGGTTCGTTTTTTTTTTCTTTTTTTTTTTTCCGGTTTCGGTTTTTCGGTTTTAAATAAGTTAAACCATTCGGTTTAACATTAGAGTTCGGTTCGGTTTCGATTAAGATTTAATTCAGTTCGGTGTCCGGTTCGGTTCAAGATCCCCTAATTTCAACATTTTCTAATTTTTCGAACATACTACAAAACAATACATATTCACATCATCACATAATCCAAACCCAAATTCTAAACATTATATAACAAAATAGCAATCCAAAATTCAAACACAATACTAAGTACTAATTACCAAGCATCAGTTAACTTTTTTGCACAACCGACTCTTTAGTTGGTTCATTTGGAATATTTTTATTGACAAGATGAATAATCATCTATCTGTATAGTTGATATTAGAAGAACAAGGGTAAAGTACTATATAGTTAATTTTTGGACACAATCCGTCATTTCTAGTGCACTTGCAATATATTCCAGTACTAGAAAATAATTCTAGTGCACTGGAAATCAAAATTAGAATGACTGTAAAGCACATTAAATTTATAGAAACATGAAACTAAGGAAAATACTGAATATTGTAAATATAACTCAAGTTAGATATAATTGTGAGGTAAAGAACAATTGCGACAAGCAACAAAAGTGCAATGTAGAGAATAAGCTATAAAGAAATCAAATAAAAAATTTAAGGGAGATATCTGTGAGAATAAGAACTAAACGGCGGAGCAGGCATCAAGGGACTTGAATTTACTTATTATTATTATTATTATTATTATTATTTTAAAAATCATATGATATTCGGTTCTGTTTGGTACAGAACCGTTCGGTTTATAAGAATCTCGAACCGTTCGGTTTTCTATTATTAATTCGGTTCGGTTCGATTCGATTCGGATAAATCGAACCGAAATGCCCACCCCTAGTTCGTAGTACACAAATTGTAAATTTTTAAAAGATAAATTGTAAACATTTGAACTGAATTAACTTTGCAAAGTGGACTCGGGTCTACAAAATAATTTGCGGATTTTGTGTAGGTAGTCCTTCTTGAGGTACATCTGATTGGATAAAAGGTCTAAAAATCTAAAATTATACGGAGTATATATTAGGCATGTAAACAACTTATTGTAGATTTAAAACGCGAAAATGTAATATGTAAATTAATAAAATATTCACAGTTTTGTTTCTCTATCTTTAAAAATGAGTGACATGATCAATTATTAATGGTAATTGTCACAATTAATCATTTTCTATATATGCATTTTTAGCATTTTGTATAAGCTCAACCAAACATCAATGGCAAATTATGCTGTGCATCCGAGCGCACCATGCAAGGTGTACACGAATGCAAAAACGGCGTCGTTTTACTTAAATAAAAAAAATTATTTTCGATTGTTGTTAGTTACGTTAACATATGTTCATAATTTTATAATTTCACATTCTGGATTTATAGTTATGAAATTATGGATGTGTAGTTATGCAATTCTGGATTTATAGTTATGAAGTTATGGATGTATAATTATGCATGCAATTCTGAATGTATAGTTATGAAGTTATGGATGTGTAATTATGCATGCAATTCTGAATGTATAGTTATAAAGTTATTGATGTGTAGTTATGCATGCAATTCTGAATGTATAGTTATGAAGATTATGGATGTGTAGTTATGCAATTCTGGATTTATAGTTATGTAGTTATGGATGTGTAGTTATGCAATTCTGAATGTATAGTTACGAAGTTATGAATGTGTAGTTATGGAATTCTGGATTTATAGTTATGAAGTTATGGATGTGTAGTTATGCAATTCTGGATGTATAGTTATGAAGTTATGGATGTGTAGTTATGCAATTCTGGATGTATAGTTATGAAGTTATGGATGTGTAGTTATGCAATTATGGATTTATAGTTATGAAGTTATGGGTGTGTAGTTATGCAATTTTTGATGTATAATTATGAAGTTATGGATGTGTAGTTATGCAATTCTGTTTTTTTTTTTTTTTTTTTTTTTTTAAAAAATTAAGTTGGACGTCAAAACGACGTCGTTTTTGCAACCGTGTGCACCATGCATGGTGCACACGGTTGCACAGTATAACGCTCCAACATCAATTTAGTCACTCCCTCCCAACTGTTTCAGGTACGCCTCAACCCGCCAAGCCACACCATCACTTGTGTACCAAGGTGCTACACCTTATATTTGTTCCTATATTTTCGGACTGGCAGCATTAACCACCGGCCGCCGACTAGCTGGGGCCGTGGGTAGATGGGGTGGTGCGCTCCCGGGCACGACAACGGCGACCCTACCGGCTGGAGGTGGTAGTAAGGGGTAGAGAGGGGTGGTAGGGAAGTGGAGACGTGGGTGAAGGCACGAGGCATGGACACGGAGAAGATGGATATGGAAGGCTAGTCGCTGTCGTACACTTGTCAACAATCCAGAATGCTCTCGACACTATATAAGTCATCATCTAGACACGACAAGCACTGCAGTCTAGTGGTCTTGATCTCATGTTCTTAACCCCTTTTGCCTGGGTTTGATTCTTGTTTATACTTTATAGCATAGTTAGCTATAACCCATCCTCGTTGTTTCTATATTTCTATACTTATCGATCTCAATAAAACCATCATATATCACAAGATACAACTAATCTAAACAAGTCTCATTCTTTGTTTATACTTTAACATGTATTAGTCTACTAGCATAAAATTTGACATATACAAATTAAATAAATTATTGTATGTGTTCCACTACCATAAGCTAGATGTATCAAACCGGTTAGCCCGAAGTCAAATCCATTTTCGATCCAGCCCGGTCCATTTGCTACTATATACGGACTGGCTAGCCCATTTTATAATATGTATAGGCCATATTTTAATTGTTGGCCCTGGACTAGGCCGGGCTTGGCTCATTGGCATGTACATTTAAAAAAGGAAAAATGACATTTTTTCTTCCTGTGTTGTTTACTTATAACATATTTCTCTCCTGTGTTGTTTATATAACCATTTTATCCCCCTCAATTGTTTTTGAAGTGGCTATTTTCCTCCCTATCCGTTAAATAAGTGTTAGGGCTGTTAAATATGAGGATAAAAATGACATTTCACTTATTATTATTATTATTATTATTATTATTATTATTATTATTATTATTATTATTAGATAATGGAAGGGTCGTTTTTTTTTTTTTGAGACAGAAATAGAACATTACCTTTTGGGCAATCTGGGATCGCTTGTGAACTTCACGAGCCTCCTTCTTGCGTTTGCGTTTGAAGTGATCATGGCGGTAGCCATTTCTCTTCCTGTGCAGCTCTATATAATCTCCCTGCGGCGGCATGTTTGTCGACGACAAAAATCCTGGAAATTTTCATATTTAACAGTTGTTATTATTATTATTATTATTATTATTATTATTATTATTATTATTATAAGTGAAATGACATTTTTACCCTCATATTTAACAACCTTAACACTTATTTAAGTGAAAGGAGAAAAATAACCACTTCAAAAATAATTGAGGGGAATTAAGTGGTTACATAAACAACACAAGGGTAAAATATGCTATAAGTAAACAACACAGGGAAAAAAATACCATTTTCCCTAATATATATATATATATATATATATATATATATATATATATATATATATATATATATATTCTAGTGGAGTAATGGCAAGACGTTACGTATTTCTGCCTAACTAGCATAACTAGTAATTAGTGCCTTTAAATATTTTAGAGGTGTAAAATGTTATTTGTTTCAAATTGAATTTTTTTTTTTGTATTTTTTAATCCGGACGTTTTTTTTTTTTTTTTTTTTTTAATGCAAGACTGTTTAATTCTCTTAACAAAGGATGTGTGCATACTGAAGTTAAAAAGACAACTTGATGGAATTGAATCATAGTTGCACTACTACACAACAGGCCTTTAACTTCCCCTGTGTTGTTTAGCATATTATTATCCCCTGTGTTGTTTATGTAACCATTTTATCCCCTCAATTGTTTTTGAAGTGGTTATTTTCCTTCCTTTCCGTTAAATAAGTGTTAGAGCTGTTAAATATGAGGATAAAAAAAATTAAAAATAACTACAACGTCAGCTATAAAGATAGCGGACGTTGTAGGTTTTTTTTTTTTTTTTTTTTTTTTTTCTCTATAACGTCAGCTATTAGTATATAGCTGAATGATTTAACATCGGCTATAAAATGCCTGTAGTAGTGTTGGACACTGATTGAAGTATTAAATTAACAGGAGATGATGAAGAAAAGATGGAAAATTATTTTTATTGAATATGATGATGTGTTAACAAAACTATATGAGACTAGAATGCATGTATTCATTAACTGATGAAGATCTACAGTAAGTTTAACGTTGTTTGACACTGACAACTCTTAAGAAACGTAACAAGATATATAGATATATAAATATATATATAGATGCATACAAATCCACCATGATGTGATGTATATACTAGCAGATCGATCGGCGACTAGAAGATTTTGGCGACATCTTTAATCAAGCCCCGGTTGGCTCGGGCGAACTCCGTGAACTCGTCGAAGGAGATGAAGCCGTCGCCGTCGGTGTCGATCTCCGCCATCATGTTCTTCACTTCGTCCTCCGTCACCGACCCCAGCGCCTTCAGTGTCTCCCCTAGCTCCGCCGCCGAGATTCTGCCGTCGCCGTTGGTGTCGAAGCGTGCGAAGATCTTCTCCCGGTCGGCGATATCCTGTGGATCATCAGCCATTGCTCTCAGATCAGCTGGTCGTGTACAACGTAAGCGGGAATATAATGGCGATCGAATTGAGAACGATGATTTTGTTCTGTTGATTGATGTTGTCGATTGGCTACTGATGATATCCAGAAAGGGATTATATAGGAAAGATTGATTAAAGAGTCATGGGCGTCCTGTGAAATCGGGGTTTTTGTGAATTCCCGAGAAATCGCACAAAATAACCAACAAAGAGTGTTAACGGTAAACATTATGAGAACAGGACAACAATTGATTTGTTTCAAAGGAAAATATTACATATATTCCCAACTGTTACTTACACACACAAAATTTTGATGTACGCACTTGTTGAAAGTTATTTTCAGATTGAAAATAATAATTGTTCCCAAAAGATTAAATTCACAACCCTAATAATCCCCTAACCCAGCTGAACATAGAGGCTAGACATTTTTTATTTTTTTAATATCTAAGAGGAAGGGGGAAACCCAAATAACAACTTATATAGAGATATATGTATTCCACCACAGGGGAACCCAGCCAAATCATCCTCTAAGTAGCCTCTAATTATGTCAGGAGGCTCAGGAAGTCTATACAGACCATCACTAAAATGTCGAGAAAGTTTAGCAAGTGCATAAGCTACATAATTCTGTTCTCGGGTGATGTGCGTAACCTGCCAAATTTCGAAGTTTCGAAGCTCTTTTCTGCATGCAATCAGAATGTTGTGTGCTGCAATACGAGAGGGATTGTCGCTGTTAATAAAATCGGCTGCTTCCTTCGAATCACTTTCGAACAGCACCCGATTGAAACCCAAGTCTGCAGAAAGTTGAATTCCTTTGAGCAAAGCCCATGCCTCTGCTTCCAGTGTAGTACAGTTACCGATGGTTGCCACAAAACCATACTTCCATTCCCCCAGACTATCTCTTATGCCCCCCTCCCCCCGCACCCAGCTGCGAAGGATGACGGGATGACTGATCCATCAATGTTAACTTTGATCACATTGTCAGGAGGCTTTGTCCAACAGAACTTTTTCCAATCCAGCGAATTACCTGCCGGTTTAGATCCCCTTACTCTATCAAATGCGCCTATAATTTCGTTCACCTGGGCCCTTATAATTGCAGTTTTCGACTCAATCGGGATCACTTTACCATTAAAGATAGCATCGTTGCGTCACTTCCACACCCACCATGCCGTGACTGCAAAGATGGTACTGTCATGGCATGGATGACTGCCTTTGTCTTTGAGGGTGGTACCTTCATCGATCCAACTTGTAAACGGCCGATTCCTAAGCCTTTCATGCACCATGGGTAGAGTAACCTTCCAAACTTCCTCCGCTGCCAGGCAGAGACGCATGACATGGTTAGTATCCTCAGTGCAGTCCATACATAGCCAACATTTATCATTATTGGTTAATCCACGCTTGGTCCGGTTCAGGTTAGTCATTATTCTTTCATGCCTTAGCAACCATAGGAAGAAGTGAATCTGATTGGGGATCTTAAGTTTCCAAATGCTATTCCACTTGGTAGCATCCAAAGACTCCCTCGCGCCCAGAGCAATGTTGTAAGCCGAGCTAACAGAGAAGAGTCCGTTGGGTTTGAATTCCCAACCAATTAAATCCGAGGCCTCCGGTTCTTCACAAAGTATAAAAGTAGTCAGCTTTCTGAGTATTCTAGTAGGGAGGAGATGATTTACCTGATCCCAGTGCCAGCCCAAATTGGGAATCCAGTAGCTAGATACGGTCCTCGTCAAATCGGCAGAAGAGATCCCTATAATCAGTTCATTTAAAGGCCTGCTTTCTAGCCATTTGTCCACCCAAAATAGAGTGCTCGAACCATTTCCCCTCCAAGCGTTTGAATTGTTGCTTTTGAGCTGCCATGACGCCCAGTCCGATGATCTAACACCATATTTCGCTTTGAGTAGTTTTACCCAAAGACAGTCCTCATCTTGAACTATTCTCCAACCAAGTTTTGCTAAAAAAGACAGATTCATATGTTTCAGGCTTTGTAACCCCAGTCCACCATTGGACTTGATGTGCGTAATGGTCTCCCAGTTGACAAGGTGACATTTCCTTGCCTCCTCCGTGCTACCCCAGAGGAAGTCACAAATTAGTTTTTCTATAGCAGCGAGAACTCCAACTGGGATCAACATAGATTGCATAGTAAAATACGGGATGGAAGTGAGAACCGATTGAGCTAGGGCGTGACATCCAGCCAACGATAATGACTTTGATTTCCAGCCTGCAAGACAGGATTGAACTTTCTCTAGAATTCCGGTAAAGCTATCGCTCTTCACTCTCTCATGAATTGACGGGACACCCAAGTATCTTCCCATATCAGTAATATTCGGTATGCCTGTTGCTTCCATGATGCTTTGCTGTTCTGCCACAGGTGTGTTCTTTGAGAAAAATAAGGAGGACTTTTGAAGACTGATTTTTTGGCCTGATGCTGAGCAGAAAATATCAATGCAACTTTTCATCTCCAGTGCCTGTTCAATCGTTGATTCGCCAAAGAAGATGAGATTGTCTGCCCAGTTGCCTTCTCCGGTGAGGAGGCAGTGTTGCCTTCTCACCGGAAAAGGTGACGTTTAGTTTTTATTTTATTTTATTTTAAATTAATAATTTGATTATAAAAAATATATATATAAAATAAATATTAGTCTTTGACCACATTAAATGATGGTGGTGCAAATAATAATTTTTAATGAGCATCACCTATAAAGTGGTTTGACTATTAAATAGGTGGTGCAAATAGTAAAAGAGGTGGAGTGAATAGAATTTCCAAAAATATAACTTTGTTGAAAAAAATTAGTAATCAATGTTACTTTGAAAATGTAATGATTAAATTCCAAAAAAGAAAAAGTTATTAAATATTTAATTTGTCTACATACACATTTTAATGAAAGTTTTTTAAATGAGTAACTTGTCTGTAAGATCGTTCCACAGATCCTTATTTATAAGACAGGTTAGATCAATATAGAAATGTAATATTTATACTAAAAAATGTAATACTAATTAGGAATGAGATGTTGCATATAACGAAAAGTGTAAAATTTTTGTTGAAAAATGTAATACTTTTAAATCAAAATGTAAAAGTATTACAACTTTTTTCAAAAAGTACTTATAAGTAACAAATACTTTATTCATTCTTAGTATTAATATTACATTTTCATCTTGACCAACTCATTTCACGGGCAAAAATCAGACAATCTCACACAAATTTTTACCTTCCCTGCCCTTCCTAATTTGAAATATCTTTCTCACTTTTCAAGTAATCATATTCTCATTTGGTTGAAACTTTCTAAAGCCCAAATGTGAACAAAACTAATAACTTTTTTACCAATCATTATTTGGTCCATACAAACTTGTGGACCATATTTTGTATACTGTAAAATAATGTATATTTAATATAAAAATAATGTATATTCAGTAGAAAAATAATGTACATTATTTTTGTACTAAGTATACATTATATTGTATAATGTACATTCAGTACAAAAATAATGTACATTTAGTATATTAAAAATGTACCTTTTGTTATGATCCACATAACATTGTGTGGACCATGGTCCACACAATAATTTGCCCCTTTTTACCTACAAAACTAGGCGATTAAACTTTTATACTTTGTGTAATTAGATCATTGAACAAAAAAAAAAAAATTATGCAATTGAACCATTAATGCTATACTCTATGCGAGTAGCATTATTAGTAGGTAAACAACAAGTTTCCAATAATCCGATAATATGACATTGACACATTTAATTACTATTGAATTGTTTTTCTTTATCTTTCATACTACACAAGTAGAATTCAAAGTATTCCAATAATCTCAGTATGGTATGTGCTTAAAAGTGTCTCTTATAATTAGAACATGCTCAAGACACTTTGTGGTCAGACAAAAAAAAAATATTCATTATTGAATGATTATATTTAATTACTTATTGTACATTGAATGTATATGCATGTATCTTTCATACGACTCTCATAGTTAATGGTAATGATTAATCTGTATATTCAATCACATTTTGAATGTCTGTTTAATCTTATAAAATTAAAAGAAGAATTTATAATATTAAATTTTAGTGACATTAAGTGGTTCTTCCAAATGAAAAGTACCGAGGACGATATTGACTATTTATGCTTCGGTAGATTGAGAAGTAGTTATGAACAGATACTACATTGTAACAGAGTCAGTAGTACTCACAAAAAAAAAAAAAAAAAAAAAAAAAAAAAGAAAGTGAGTCGCTGGTTCAACATTGCTCTTTGTTCATATCGAAACCCATTTATCAAACGATAATCCTTTTCAAGACAAATGTAAACACAAAAATCTTGTTGTGCAGAGGACTTAGGATTAATCTGGCGTAAGCTTGAAAACAAATATTAAAAAAAAAAATAAAAAATCAATCAGGGTTAACATAACATACAACAGAAGGTCATTTTCAGAATTTCAGGGTTCCACCCAACCACAAACACAATCCATTTGACCAAATCTGTAATAGACCTAACGTATCCAAACAAATTTCTGAAAATGAACCATTCCCATTGCCCTTCAGTGTAGCACCAGACAGGCTCGATGTAAACCGAGAGTTCGGGACACCTACCTACCCCTTGGTTGGTGCCACTGCCGCCTTCGCCTTTAGAATCTAACAGAATTTCAGCGTAGCACCCGACAGTCTCGAGGTAAACGACAGCTCATTTGTGGCGGTCCACGAGGCTTCAGGGTACGTTTCCCACGGTTGGGAGCCGCCATTGCTACACTCGGAGTCCAACAGCAAATCAGCAGCTCGAGAAACATAAGCCTTCACTTCTTCAAACCTTTCCTCCGACAAAGAAACCTCAGAAAGCAGCCTCCATGCATAGTCCTCCGACGCATCATCGTAATCCTCTCTCCTCTTCAACACCATATGCCCACTAATTTCCCAAACAGCGGGGTTCACCCAAGTATCCAAGATTTCTTGATCGATTTTCCCACATGCTTGTTTCTCTGCATAACACTTTGAAAATTCACCAAAAGAATGAGTTCCTTCTTTTATCCGCAGAGAATTAAGTTCAAAGATAAGAGAACTGATTATAAATATCCCCCTCCATACTTCTAAAGTTCAGCATATCATTAATAAATGCAACAGAAAGTTATCGAAATCCATGTAAAGATTAGACTACCTCAAAGGAACAAGCAATCAGACAAACCATGTTTCCGTATTTTCAGAATTTCACTGAAGAAAAGTGTACGTTTCACCGACTCACATATATGGAAAACTCACGAGAGCTTAAAAAGACGGAGTTGGAATGTACCTGAGGAAAGAGAAATACTTTGTTCCCACGTTCAGAAATGAGAAGGTTAAAAGGAATATTATTATTTTGAAGGGAAATACAAGAATTCGCAACAGCATCAGATAAATCACGCACTGTACTCCCGCCCTCGAAGAGAAGAGCACGGGCAGGGTAATTTAATAGCTGAGAGACTACAATTCCACCATCACCCTGCTCCCTCCCCCTCATTATCTCGCGAGTTGGGGTTTTCTCGACAGGAAAAGGAACTTGTAAGTAATACGCCTGCAAAGAACAGAATTAGATCGACTTATATGTACCAAAACATTACCTTTCCAACATACGGGATGAAGAAGTTACCTGGAAGTGGAGGTGGTTAATGGTGGCAAAGGCGCCCAAACTATTATAACCAACCCTGAAGAAGGGATCGGCTGCTTCCTTAGCCAAGTGCATTGCAACGAAGAAGCTATCATGGTCAATCCTCTGAGGCAAGCAATCAAGAACCCGAGGAATCAAAAGCACATGTCCGTACTCAATAGGACTCACCTGAAGAACGAAACATCATAAACCAAAGGAATAAGGGTCAAACAGGCCACTGAACTGCACACCAAACTACAATTAGGCCATCAAACTCAAAAAAGATGCAATTAGGTCCCTGAACTACACAAATTCATGCAATCAGGTCTAAAATGACTTGTTACTATATTACCGACACACAAAAGGCCCAAAAAAGCCTTACATTGATAGCAAGAACAGTAGGCGAACCAGAACGAGCATCAACTAGTCCACTAGGCAAGTAATGGGATTTGCAGTCATTGCTCGGTTCAAATCTGAAAAGCACTTCTTCCTGGCCTATTTTCGTAAAGTTGAACTTATTCTCATCAAAAGGCTGAAGAACCTGATCAACACGAAACTCTGTAGGCCTTTTCTTCAGATGACGCCCCTCATTGAGCTGTGCAATGAAACCGAACGTGCCAGGAATAATTTTTGTCTCACACGAAGTCACATCATACCGGAATAATCCCCGGCTCATTCGCTCCTCCCACTGTCCAAGCAACAAATCACTTAGAAAGGAAATCGGACACTCCCCATAACTCAAGTAGTTCCAATCACCATCACACTTATGCTCATCATTCTTGAATGCAAATAATGGAAGGCAGGAAACTGAAACAAGCAAGTAAACATCATTCAAATACACGATAAAGGAAGAAGGTGATCAAAACAAGTTTTATTTTTTATACATTAGGTTTCGACCCAACTAATTCAGATGACAGATTATATATGCTACATTCTATGAAATCGAATTGAAATAGAAAATATGTATACCAGGCAAGCAGCATTGTCCGAGGCAATTGCGGCCGCAACCAAGGGATTCCGGTTTGGAATCCTCAGGGGCGTCGTCCTGGTAGTTGGAGACGACGGTTGGAACCCTCTTGATAGTCAACATCAATATGTATCTAACCTTTGTATGTACTACTGTGAGGATTAAAAAAAAGAAAAACAAACAAACAAATCCAGGGAAGAGAATTAACAAGTTACAGCAGAAACCAGGGGAAAAGAAATGGAGAGAAGGGAGTGGGGACTTCCGCCGGCGAGGAAGAGGAGGTCGGAAGGGGAGCCCCCTTCGGAGGGTAAGGCGCCCCTGCCGCCGTGAGGGGAAGGGATCTGGCGCTTGTCGCCCACCAGAACGAGATTGCGAGAAAAGGGTCTACGGCGGTGATGGATTTGGAAGGTGGGATTGGGAGGCAGGGATCCAAGAAGAGCCACCGTGATTGAAGATCTCCGAGAATGAAACACACTACTACAACAATCCAACCATGGGAGAAGAAACTTGTTTAATTTAATTTCCTCCCTCGCGTTACAAATGAAGACTTTTACAGGTGCTGAATCCTTGGAAAAAGGGGTCAGCACTCCGATGATTTCTCGCGGTTCGCCGCTTTGCGGAAAACAAACGGAAGAGAAAGCTACTTCGTCGTATTCATTTTTCTACTTATTCCCTTTTAGTATTTCTTTTTATTAACTCAACAAATTTATAAAATTTTAATTTTATGAATTCTTCTTTTCATACCTCCTCCTACTACTACATCGCCAATTTATATTATGGACCAAAATCCACATAATATTATGGACTTTAGATTGAAACGACAAAGTACAAAATTTATACTCGTAAAGTATAAAATTTCATAATACAAGATATAAAAAATTACAACACAAAACACATATACATGTTATATATTAATTATTTTTCAACTAATAATATTTAGTAAACTTACAACTTATTTTACCATAACTAATTGTCTACTATACACCAAGAAATGAAATTCTTTCTAAAAAATAATTTTCAAAATTTCATTTTAAATAATAGTTCTTCATTTAAAAATATCTTTCCTAATTAGATATTCTAAGGACCCTAGTAGGGTCTTTCACTGGAAAGGAATTGTCTACTATAATAAAGCTAGACCATTTTGGAAAAAAAAAATTTATTTTCATTTTCTCGCCCAGTGAAAACGACGTAGTTTTGATAGATTTGTAGGATATTAAAATTAGCAGGCATGAATGCATTTATTGTGTTTACATTTCCTGCAAAAAATAAAGTATGCTTAAAATTTTCAAAAACAACGTGTTATATATACATGTCATTCAAATGAATATATCCAACAAATATTTTAAATATTAGCTCAAAAATATTAATATTATCTAAAATAAATTTTAGGTGAACTTAGTAGGTTATTGGTTCGAATATATTTTTTAGCTATTATGTTATATACTAATATACATATATAACTTTTGTTTAGTTATCAAATGTAAAAATCTTACATATATTAGACATAAAAGTTTTTTTTTTTTTAAATCCATTTAAACCAAACATATGTAAAAATATTTTAAATATATGATCTAAAAATCACTTGAAATTAAACGTGTGTTAATTTTATAACGTTAATCTAAAAAATAAATTTGAAAAAATAAGTGATAGTAAACAAGTTTTCTAAACAGAAAACAGAGAATGAAAACAGAGAATAATTTCCTGCTAGCAAACGGACCATAATGTTAGACTAAATTTAATGAAGGTAGTGCAAATACCAATTTTCTATTTACACCACTTATAAAGCTATCACACCTATCAAAGAGTGGTGTAAATAGCCATTATGGTGGTGCAAATAGAATTTCACTTCAAAACACGTTGTTTTTGAAAATTTTAAGCATACTTTATTTTTTGCAGGAAATGTAAACACAATAAATGCATTCATGCCTGCTAATTTTAATATCCTACAAATCTATCAAAACTACGTTGTTTTCACTGGGCGGGAAAATGAAAATAATTTTTTTTTTTTCCAAAATGGTCTAGCTTTATTATAGTAGACAATTAGTTATGGTAAAATAAGTTGTAAGTTTACTAAATATTATTAGTTGAAAAATAATTAATATATAACATGTAAATAGCAACACCCCTATTTACACCACCTATAAGATTGTTGCACTTTTTGTCATTTTTACCATTTCAATGTGATTTACACCTACTTTTGACTAGATGATGGTACAAATAGCAACACTCGTTTTGGTTGCAGATGACTTTTACAATCTCCAAGACTAACATTAAAAATATTTGATGCACCGGCGTTCTATAGGTGCTATGCAACAACGGTGAACCAGAACGCACCAGCTCATTAAATTGTAAAGTCAAATTTGACTGAACCCTTTTATGCAAATTATAATAATTTTAATATAGTATAATTATAATTATTTTTTATTAAAAATAATTATTATAACCAATTCAAACTAAATAATATTAATCAAATTTATTTTCCTCGACCTTTGATCCAGTTTACGATGACGGGTTTTTTGTCGGAGTAGTAGTTGCATGCGATGTCGATGATCTTGATGTATGGAAAGTTGTTCTGGACAACATAATCTGACCTTCAAAACTAGCTCCACTTCTCCTACAACATAATCTGACCCCAAATTTGAATCCAGTTTTTAGAACATCACCTCTACACCAATAAGAAAACACGCCATCAATGAGGACGACATCATTGTCTTCTTCGAGTTGGGTATCGAGGAATTGTTTATTGACCTTTAAACAATTCCTAATCTGACCTTTAAACAATTCCTAAGAAGATTATCAAAATTTTCACCGCTGTTGTATAGCACATTAGCACCTATACACAATGCCAGTGAATCAAATATTTTCTCTTAATTAATTGGAGATGAATTTAAAATTCAAAATAACTATTTACATGAACATGTACACATACGTGAACACTATAAATAAGTCATCATACCACAACCAATACTACAAAATTTGTTCCTACTACAATCAATTAATCAATTAATGATGAAAGTGACGGAGTATGGAGGATGGCCGTGGTTGGAATTGGAAGAAAGTTAACCATTCATTTCTCGATCATCTTAGATTTCTTAGGGAGCTTTATACCATACAATATGAGAAAAATGAATATTTATGAGAGATGGAAAACTCAACTGATAAGTTTTATATTTTCTCAGTCTTTACTTTCTTTGCTACTTTAACCGATTAGGTGCAAGAAACAAGCTGGCTCAACATTAATAAATGAAAAGTTCAGTGTATCATAAGAACTTCCATGTGCCACTAGGCGTCGGATATATGCAATATGTTAAATCATATTAACATTAGTTTGACACATACTATATATAATAGCTATACATGTACATAATACCTATAGTTTAACATTTATTAACTGAATGCACATAATATATTAATTACAAATACATAATATATTAATTGTGTAAATACATAGTATATTAATTATATATACACAATATGTTAATTGTAATGGATACATAATTTATTAACTAAAAGTATATAATATGTTAATTACGAAATGTTTTATTATTATTATTATTATTATTTTTGAGAAACAAATGAGTTTTGACCCAACCCAAAAATCTTTTGGGCCATGATTACCGACGAGCCCAATATACGTCAAGTGAAGCCCAAGTTATTTCATAAAAAATCATGGACAATATTTTTCATAATGGCTGTGAGCGGCAAATTATTTTGTGGACCCGAATTTAAAAATTCACAATTTATATACTGAATATTCATAATTAACATATTGAATATTTACAATTTTATATACTAAATATTAACAATTTATTTATTTATTATTATTATTATTATGAAGCAAATTAAAACAAAGTAAACACAAGTATTTGGCAAGCAAAGTAAGGGTAAATTTGTCCATTCATTATATTTTTCTTCCCATCCGACATGGAATATAAATTCTTGTGGGAAGGGGTGGTAATTGCAATTCTCTCCAAACAAATAAGGAAATTTATCTCCGTAGTGTGGAGGTTCGAATCTCACTGGAAACATGTATGGGGATCGGAAAAGGCCCAAAGATGATAGAAGGTCTGGATTGGATCCCTTATGTGCACATAAAGACTAGCTGGTGATTTGAGCTGATTGCACGACTCGTGATTTATCTCCGCAGTGATTCTAGGGGTTGGTCTTGTGAGCTTAGGATTAGTCCGCCGAAACTGAGATTACCTTAAGCTTTAAAAAAAAAAAAAGAAGAAGACAATTTTAGAAGTTAAGGAGTTATGTAGGAAATGAATTGAAATCTCCATGTACCAAACAACCCGATCAAGTTTCAATTTCATCTATAAAATTGAATGAAGAAATAGGATTCACATAAGTGATTTTCAGTATATTTGGATTAAGGCTTAGCATAGCTAAGTATTACACAGGTAAATTAAATGTATTTTGGATTAGGTAGGAAATGAATTGAAATCTCTATGTACCAAACAACCAGATGATAATGTATTACGGAGTATTAAATTATTTTTTTGGAGCCAAGGACCTTGTGGTCTAGTGGCACCGAGTTAATATCTTATATGGGAGGTTGTGAGTTTTTTTTTTTTTTTTTTTTTTTTTGAAAGCAAAATAGGGCGAAATTTTATTATTGAATATGCGTAATAATAAAATCAGGAGGGACATCGTCCCAAAACATAGTAATATCCTGGTCATAGACCTTTGATGCTAGAGTATGAGCAATAATATTTAAACGCCTAGGAATAAAACGTAACTGACATGTAGTAAATTGCGCCATAGTCACCTGACACTCATGGACAACAATACCAACATACGATCTAGGCTGCGAACCAACTTTGTGAAGGTGGGGATACTGCATTGTAACAGAGTCAGTAGTACTCAAAAAAGTTAATTTCATTTTTGGTCATTGATTTACAGGTGACGGACCTTTTTAGTCATTTTTTATTAGAACATCCACATTTAGTCCTAGTATTATTGTGGCATGACAATTTTTAGTCCTCCTTCAACAAAATCGTGGAAATATCGATAAATACAAAGACATTTCAATTATATATATATATATATATATATATATATATATATATATATATATATATATATATATATATATATATATATATATATATATATATATATATATATATAAAGTAGGTTGAACCGCTATATTTTTTATGTTTATTTTTTTGAAAAAATTTATAATTGAATACTGAAATGCTATTGTATTTAACGATATTTAAACTGTTTTGTTGATAAAGGACCAAAAATGGTCATGTCACAATAATACTAGGACCAAAAGTGGATGTTTTAATAAAAAATGACTTAAAATGAATTGTGACCTATAAATCTATGACAAAATATGAAATTATCTCTACTAAAAAAATTAATTTTTTGGAGAAGTTGATGTGTTAGAAATTCCAAAGTTGAAAAAATCCTTCATAAAAGGCTTCTCTTTATTAAATAAGCACTATCAAATCTTACGAGATCATTATATTTTTTCTCTAAATTAGGAATCTTTTGGTAAGATTTGGTATTACTTATTTAAAGATAAGTCTTTTCACTCTTTTTAGTCTTTTGTGAAATTAAAAATTTTTTAACTTTGAATTTCAAACACGACAAATTCTCCAAACATTAATTATATAGTATTGGTTGATTGTCATTATCATCGAATTA